GACCGACGTCGTTCTTTTTTTGGACTTTTCTCAAAAAACAGTTTTCGATTAATTAAAATGCTCCAAATTTATCGCACTGTACCTTGAAAAATTTGCAGAGTCGAATTCAGGGGAGCGGGAAGGCGGGGATTTATCCCCGGGCGTATAATTTTCCAGGGCGTTTTTTTTTGAGATTTCATAAACTCTGATTAAATTGAAAATAGAATTTGAAATTTAGAAATATTGAACACAAATTTTAGTTTCAAATACACCATTAAGAAGTACTTCTAAAACTATTACTTGTTTAGTATAAAATTTAAAATTTTTGATTTACAAAATTAAAAGCGAATATTTTATTTATCGTAAATAATGTATTTATCCTGTATATTGCAAGTGGTTTTATAAATGGTTGGCAGCACAATTGTGTAAGTGTGCTTGATTTTTCGTAAAAAAAATACTAACTGGTCATTTCCCTGAAATTGGTGTACATTTTCCCCTGGTGTTGAGATTTGGCCCTGAAAATGTGGATGCCCAGTAGTACTCCATTTATAAAAAAAGAAAATGTCTAAATTCCTAACACTTTTTCTGTAAAATTAAAAAAAACTGATACATTGTTGATGCATTGGTTACCTTGGCCATACAGTGGGATAAAATATAGTACTCCAATCAGAATAGGTTTTTTATTGTAATATGAGTTGCAAGGGCGTCCTGATAAAACTTTAGTTCAAAAAGAGAGCCCATAAATCAAAAAGTTTGTGAAGCATTGGTCTATACTGTATAATATTGCAAATACGAGTCAGCCAATCAATCAATAAAAAAAAAAAAAATGCCAATCGCAAACGTGGATTTCAACAGTTATAAATTTATATTTATAGTTACGCGGATATGAGTAAAATTTTAATTACAACTGACAAAATACAATACCTGCGTTCTTTACGTATTGTTCTATTATTAAATTACGTTATACTCTAAATAAATTTGGTTTTCGCTGAAAACAACGCCCGGTTTGTTTCAGTAAAACGTTTATAGAAATAAAATATGGTCGTCGCTATTGGTCTACAAATTTACTCGTCGATATCCGATTGTAAATACCCGAAATTTTGAACATAAAAATGGTTGGAGAAGTTGAAATTCGAAACTCCAAAAGGCACATTCTGATACTTACACCATGAATATTCCACATTTTCATCCTCCTGGCTTCGGGTGGAGGTCTGTAGAGGTGCACATTAAATTCTCCCTCAAAAATATAGTGTTCAATATAAGTTCATATTAAATTTCAACCAAAATGTTATCATTTCAATCAGCCTTTAAACAAATTCTAATTCCTCAACTTGAGCTCGTTTTGATCCAAATGAAACCGCTATAAAAGTATCCAAAAGTGCTGGAAAAAATATATAATATTTTAACTCTAAAACAGACGTCATATACAATAGAGTACAATCGTTTTTATTTCCAGGTTAAATTCGATAAAAAAAGCCTTGATCAGCTTGTATTAATGTCAATGATGGTGAGCTTTCAGGGGCTTTCAACTTTGGACCCCCGTCCCTACTATTTTAATACACAAATTTCACCAATATTCCAAACAAATGGTTTTTTTTAATATTTTTAGTTCATAGCCCTTATCATTAGATACTTATTATTAAAAATTTACAAATATACACGAATATATAACATATTATAGCATATTACCGAAATATAAACATACAATTTTTAAAAAGTAAACAGAATAATAATTGCTATATTATACTACGCTAACGAATCGAATGGTGTGAATAAATACCACTATTATAAAGAACTATTAATCAAAAAAAAAATAATATTACATCGCACCACTGTAAATAGGCCAATATTTTGTCTGCGATTTATAGCATGAAGCGGTGATTTAAAATGTTTCGATGCGGCTCTTCTTGAAATAGAACATATTATTATTATCCGTATGTTCCCAGAATTTAAGTTTTGCTGCAGCTGTTGCAAAGAACGTCCCGAGAAGAACTAATTTGTATTATAATTTAATTTTATAGATAGTTTTACAAAGATGTTTATTTTTTTTTTTATCTGTGCGCTACTTTTATACCAGAAGACTTGCTCGAATTTCTACGTGTAGCACCTTTTCTGAAAGGAAATTGGCGTGAGGATGTACTTTAAGGAAGTAATATTTTGATTTTCGAAAAAGTGTTTTCATCAAATGCGAAAAACCGAAAAAAAAAAACGAGAAATTTACGAAGTATAATAAATATAATCTTATGATTTTTTTCTGTGGACAAATTTTTATCGGCAATTTTGCTCCAACTTTTAATGATAGCAATGCTTCTAAAAGAAAATTTTACTAAAGAGGTACTTTAGAAAAGTCATTTTTTGATTTTCTCAAGAGTTATCCCAATAAGTAGGAAAACCGGGAAAAACGTAGGAAAACTGAGAAAATTGATACAACATTAAACAAATTTTATTAAAGAAAATATATAAAGCATATTTATTTATTTTATTACAAAATGGCATTTATATTGTTGACAAAGCATCACTATGAACTGAACTCCGCTAAGAATCGTTTTTTCGTAAACAATGGTTTATCGTTGCTTACAGATATACATTGAATTCCCGGGCCTTTTTCGCCCAATCTGACACTAATAATTATAGGTTAGGTTAATAATGCAATAGAATAGAAACTATTATGTTTTTATATTACAAATAATTACTGTAAACAATTCATAGGTAGTAAAATATTGATGGTTTTGTTACGAAAAATGGTTACAAAAAAAATTAAAAACATTCTTTATTTGCAGCTGAAGGTGTTGCTAAATCACACCTATGACAAAATAGCTAAAGTTACATCCGGTGCATTGCCACACGCTTATATTATACTTTTAAAAATGTTACATGAAACGTCCATGTAAAAATAAGTAGGTATATAGATAAAAAAAAAAGTTGGCAGATACCTATTAGTATCGTTTTATTAATTTTGCCTTCAAGTTAACAACTATAAATACTGAAGTGACAAAATATATTCATAACACCTTATCGAAACCACGAATAAAATAATATTGATTTTAAGTACAACTGTTAACTGAATATATCATTGAACATTTAAACTCAAAAAAGGTACTCGATGATAATAAAAAACCTTATATTGAAGTAAAATCATAATATAATATAATATTACTTACATCATCGCTCGTTATCTTTTAAAATTACTATTTTTTTTTTTTTTGTCTTGTGTACATTAATATTGTTTTATACAAAACCTTGTCTCTTTGTTGGGGTTCCCTATTTTGTTTTCGATTCATATCAGATTTATCATACAGAAAAAATAATTTGTAACTCAAGTTTGATGTTCGAATCACTTTTTGTTTTAAAATGCCTTCTTTAAATATTACACCTCGACATTGAATAGTTATTTTCGTCGTTGGCCGTTGATACCATTCCAAGTCGCCGTCCGATTTACCAAATCTGCTGTAGTACTAGAGATTAATTAAATAGGTATCGATAGACTTGAAATAAACGCACGTATTCTTCGGGCTTAATGAAATAACCTCTCCGATGATAATTATTATTATAATAAAAACCTACACGCATACACCGGCGTTAGATCCGTTAAATTCGTTTTAGAATAATAATATTATTATTATGAGTCAATGAGTTTATTAAAGAAACGGCCAGTCAGAAGCCAAAGAAATCTTACGGAGAGTGAAAAATCTACCTGCATAGACCATATATGGCGCGTGTTGATTGTCTGGTAACCAAACAACTATTTTAGGATTAGCACCAGGAAACCAGTTCACGTGACAAGTTATTGTATTTAAAATGTATTTTTAACCTACGTGATTAATTATAATTTTTATTAAAATAACATTGTCACCCGTAGCGATGATTAGCATATAAATTTAATTTAAATATTTTATAAATGAAAAACCAATCCCATTCCCTACCAATGCGTATTAAAACATATAACTCACAAGGTGAGTTAGACATATAAATTACATAAATATAAATATTATATAACATTATATAAATTTCACATCAAATGTGAAAAACCAAAGAAAAAACAAAAAAAAAATGAGAAAATGTACAAAATATATTAGTAAGACATTACGATTTTTTTCCTGTAAAATACATTTCTATCATCAATTTTGCTCCGATTTACAATGATAGCATTTTTTCTAAAAATTTGACTGAGGGACTGGGGAGGTACTTTAAAGAGGTCATTTTACGATTTTCTCAGGAGTTTTCCTATCAAATGGAAAAAACCGAAAAAAAACTAAGAAAAAACGAAAAATCAATACAACATTAAACAAATAATATTAAAGAAAATATATAATGCTTATTTTATTATTTTATCATATTATGACATATATATTATTGACAAAGCATCACTATCAACTGAACTCCGCTGAGAATCGTTTTTTCATTAACAATGGTTTATCGTTGCCTTATAGATATACATTAAATTACCTATAATAATATCTGTATTTGTCCCCATTATCCTAGAACAGCTTTTTAACTGTTCAAGCTGTTTTGATTATGTTGTACGATTGAGTTAAACGCGTTTAAATAATGCGTTGGCCTTTCACATTCAATTTGAAAGTTTGTTGATCAAACATTAAAAAGGATTAAAGATAAAAATTCTATTACATTTTAAACAGTATGGGGTAAAATACTAAAATCAATTTCATCCTACAACAGTTATTTTTCTATATTATAAAAGCGACCAAATAAATTGTATGACGGTTAAAATATTATTATTAATTATGCACAATACAGTTAATTTGGTTGCCTAGCCAAAGTTTTGTTTGGGAAGATTCCAATTTCTATTAAGTATTTGTTTTTTTAATAAAACTGTTTTTAATAATTTTCTTTTTGTTGTAAAATAATTGGTTGAACATTTAATTTTAATAAAACGTATTATACGTATGATTAAAATTAAAATTAATTTGTACAGCAATTATTGTTTTTTAAAAGAACAAAATTATAAAAAATGGTTTATTTGAAAATGTTTACATATTATTCTTATACTTCAACATTGTATACAGTTTTAACGTAGCACTTTTATAGCACTTTTGTATTGTAAGTTGGCGGACACCTTTATACACCTATTTGATTTCGAATTAGGTACTATAAATTAAGAATATTAACTTCTATATAATATACCTAGCAATAATAATTTACCATAAATGAGAATAATCTAGGATGATAAAAATAGGTACTAACGCAATTGCTTAGATAGATACAGCTTTAATTGTAGTTTTGTGTTATAATAATTATAATAATTTATAATAATTTCAATCAAACAATATTCATATAGATAAGTGCTTCAAATACAATATACGTGTAATAGATATCTATCTTAAAAACGAAAAATAAAAACCAATACCGTAATTTTATACCTTTAGGTAAATAAGTATTACACTTGACTTTTGCACAACCTAAAACTATTACTTAAACATTTTCTTGAAATTAATACAAATTTATGTATCTGGTACATATATAGCACATACAACTACAGAATAATGAATAATTGTATTTTAATCCACACTCATTGTTTTAAAAGAACCCTCGACGCCAAAATAGTCACTTTCTGTTTTCGGCTTTCCGGGACGTTTTTGTTCGTCTACTCTTAAAACTTCTTCTTCTAAAAACCATTTTCTCATTTCTTTGACAGCGTTTAATGAACTCTCTGAATTTATATTTACAAGAAAAAAAGTAATATTACTGACATTATTTATATATAGTGAATAATAATGGTCATTATCATTATAATACGTGAACAACATAACAATGTTGTTGTTCACGTATTATAATTATAGATTATTTACCCACCGGTTAATTCTTGTAAAGATTTTCCATTTCCTCCGACATCACTTGGCATCATATTTTTAGGTACATAATCGTATATTTTTTCAGAATTTACTTGGTGGTAGAAAAACTGAAATAAAACATTATTTGATGGCATACGTATAATAATATTTCTTATCATATTAATATTGCGAAAAATCTGAACTGAATTACTTTTTCTGATAATTCTTTTTTCATAAAAGGCTTCATCATACCAGTTATCATATCAATATACTGAGTTGTATTTATCGTATGGATACCTTTTAGACGAGCTGGTAGTCCATCCTAAAATCAAAATTTTTTTTTTTATTAATTTAGTATGTAGTTAATAAATTAAGGTTAGTTTAATAGCTATACACACTTGTAAAAAATATACATATTTTTTTATCATGTTGATACCAAGACGACCGATGTGGCTAAGGCCAAACCCTTTCATGTCGTAAATAATAATAAATCCGTCAAACGTTCCTGTAGTCATCAGTAACATATCGATAACCATGCTAAGTGTTTTGATGAAATCAGCTAAAACAAACAACTCTGGTTCCGTACGTTTAGCGTATACAAATATAACTTTACAACCATCTGGAGTCAATTCCGGAAGTGTGAAGATTCCACTAAAAAGTAACAAACATATTTTATTTTAGTAAAATAAACAGTGAGTTCATGGTTTAAAGAAACCTACATAAAATTATTTGTATTTTATTTTACTTACATTGCATTAAACGCATCAATTACAGATTTTATTTCAGTATCTCTTTTCGTGAATAATTCAGGTGAATGTGTGCGGAGTGTGAAATAAGATTCTATGGTTACTTTAGTCGGTTCTAATCGATAAAAACAACTATGCAAAAATAGAATAAGAAATTCATCTGAAAATAATAATACGTTCATTATTTTTATTAGTCGAAAATAAATGAATATGGTTAATACACAAAGTAGTTAGGAAACCTGCAACTAGATTTTAGAAACTCATGATTTATATTTATTTTCAAATAATAAATATAGATTTCATATTGAGCGTCAATAGTCTCTATTGTATTCTCTGGTATATACAAAATATTTATTAAAATTTCCTTTTAACCATTCTGAAGTGGATTTTTTTTTTAATAAGTAAATAATAAAAACCTATAAAATGATAAGTGTCTTACTCTCACTTAAGGTTCCGGCGAATAAGTAGGGCAAGTTAACTATTTTTTTAAACTAGTGAAGTAATCCTTAATAGAAAAGAGCTGATACCGGAGATGGCTGCGGTTGTGGATAGTTGAGAAGGTAAGATACATAAAGTTATTTTTTATACCTGGAACAAACGATAAACCATTGCTAAGGAAATACGGTTCAAAGCTATGCTCCGAAACTAATATTAACTAAATTAAGTTAAATTTAACTAATATAAATAACGTTTTAATTAAGTTACACATTTTTGAGGAAAATGATAACTTGAATTAAGTCAAAAGTTACTTTTTTAAAGTTCCTTTAACTACGCTAAAACTTAATTATTATTCTAATAATTATACTTTTATAGATTTAACATACAAGACTCGTGTGGGTATCCCACATACCTGTCTTGTATGCTAATGATATTCACGTAAAAATACATAATTATTGTCGAAATATATAAATGCAAAAAATATACAGGATAATTTTTTAAGGATGCTCGCCCTATTTTTATGGCTAAATGACACATATACACAATCTGATTTTTGGTATTTTTAAGTATAGTTAAAGACATTATTTTCAAACCTACATAATTTAATGCAAATCGTAAACTAGTTAATTTTCATGAACATTTTGATAACAATAAAATTGTTTAAAAGTAAGTACATTTTTAACAGAATAATAACAAAGTTCAATTAAAATTATTTATTAAAATAAATAATTAAGTTATTTTATAGCATTTGTTTTTTTTAACTATAGTCCGTTCCACGATAAAACGGTACCGGCTGCCAACCAAAACCGGTCATCAGCTGCGAATGTGGAAGCACGTAAAAAAGCCGAAAATATTTCAGCTGAACTGTAATTCAGCCAACAAATATTTTATCCGAAACATATTTTATCCTAACCGTATTTTAGCCAACACATGTTTCGTTCGTATCGTATTTTAGCCGACACGCATTACCGACGTTACTGGTTGTATTGCAGCATTTTTTTATAGTGGGGGGCTAGGTTAGAATCGGATTAAATGTCTGTCGGATAAAATACTGTCGGCTTAAATACAGTTTCGACAATACAGTAATACCTGTAATGAACCACATGGGTGAAACGACACGTGTTTTCAATTAGGTCGGTGCCCATATTAATACAGCTTGCTACCATTGGATTTTTTTGATACGAGTTTACAATGAATTTAAATTAATTACTCCACTAAAAGTCTTATATTGTGCGTTAGCTTGGAAGATTTTGGAATCAACTATCGTTATTCGGAACCCTCTTACTGCTAGTGATATGCATAAACTTGAAAGGGTTCGACAAAAGTTTTTAAGCTTTGCAGCCTACCTACTGAATATTGAACATAGACATCACGATTATACGAGGTCTGACCAATAAGTAATGAGACTGTTTTTTTGCCACGTTTGTGGTAACACTGCGACTCTGAAACTTTGTTCGGTTAATTTCTCATCCCTCCTCTATCGATACATGTGCTCGCGATTTACGTACAATAATTAGTTTTCCAATTGTGTTACGTTTTCGATAACGTGTTTGTAAGGCGTGTCACAAATATGGAACAACGTAATATAAATTTTACGTTAAACTCGGCGATTCCGTTATGGAAACGTACGATAAATTGGTGAAAGTGTTTGGTGATGAAGCCCTGAGTCGTGCTCAGGTGTTTTGATGGCATAACAATTTTAAAAATGGTCGTGAAAGCGTCGGGGATGAACCGCGAAATGGGAGACCGGTTGAAGCTCGAACTGACAACAATGTTCAGCGTGTGCGCACTCTCGTGCANTTAACCGTTCGAATGTTGGCTGATGAACTTAATTTGAAACGAGAAACCGTCAGAAAAATTTTAACTGATGATTTGTCCATGAAAAAGCTGTGTGCAAAGATGGTACCGAAGAACCTTTCGGCGTGCTTTCAGTGTGTCGCGATTTTTGACCTCTAAGAACATCGCAGTGTTGCGACAAGTGCCCTATTCGCCGGATATGTCACCCTGCAACTTCTTTTTATTCCCTCAAACAAAATTGGCCGTGAAAGGAACGCATTTTGAGTCCATAACTGACATCCAGAACGCCGTGACGAGGGTACTTCAGGACATTCCAGTCGAAGCCTTCCAGAAATGTTATGAGAGCTGNAATATACGTATTTTATTGAATTAGTCTCATTACTTATTGGTCAGACCTTGTAAACATATATTTTTTTTTCTGAACCAACAACAGTGCGGAATTTATTATCATGATTATGAACTTGTACTACAGGTTAGGATATATACTACAAGTTCGATACAAGCCAAAGGTGGATCCAGGATTTGTTTACGAGCACTTAAATTAGAGAAATGTTAACTTTTTGTAATTATTAATGAAACCATACGAAATTAATGAAATATAACTATAATAAAATTATTATAAAAAAATACGTCCTAGTATAATGAGGACGGGTGCAGCCACTATTATAGGTAATTTAATGTATACTTGTAAGCAAGGATAAACCATTTCTTACGAAAAAACGATTCTGAGCGGAATTAAACTTACGTTCTTTCCCATATTTTTTTCCCAGTTTTTCGCATTTGATGAGAAAACTCTTGAGAAAATATATTTAATATTTTATGCTTATTTTACAAAAATATTATTTTGTTGTAATTATATAATAATTAAAGCGGCCCTTACAAAAACCGGTCTATCGGTAAGATTCCCGATTTCCCGATAAGTCAATCCGCCCCTGCAAATGTAATATGTACAATAAATAAACACAAATAGAATTTGTTTTTTTTTTTTTTTTGGCAAACGGGGGAGGCATTTTCCCCTAGTGCTCCCTTCCTAAATCCACCCTGAAAACAGGTCCTATATAAAGTATATTAGGTTTACAGTATTTATGAATATGGACTTTCTATACGGAAACTTATTGATTGTTCGGTTGATTTTCACGTGCTACTTTTAAAGGTTAATTTTGAAATTTTTTGTTCCCAAGTTCAATCTCCTTATCTTTTCTTTTTGTCACTTTATATATCGGACTATTTCCATAATCATCCTATTCATCTGATGATGCGTGTTGGCAATGCAAATCCAGCTGTTATATTTTATTAGTTATTGGTATTGTACGCTTTATTTAATTTTCTAGTATGTCAATTTAAATGTATTCAAATTATATCTAATTTGTACTATCTATAGTTTGGCCCTTTTTTAAGTATAAATAATATACTATATTGTTTTGTTCATAATAGTTTTCATTCAAAATTCTTTTCATATAAAACAAACTTTATTGAATAAAGATTACCTTTATTATATTTTTAAAGACCTAACCGAGTTCCAATACCGCCCTACAAGCTGGAATGCGAGAAAAGTGAAATTTACATATCTCAGTTTTATGTATTCGTAGAAAATTATTATTTTATTTTTTGACAATACAATTGTAAATGGTGGTTTACATAAAACATCTTCCTGTAGCATTTCATGAAAATCTGTCGAAAATAGCCGAGATAAACTTCGTGCTAGGTCATACTTTAGTTGGTACTTACCCGATATAGGTGGAAGATGAGGTTGTTTCGACAACCATTCTTTAAGATGATTTAAATCTTCTTTTTTCAGTTGTGGGTTTTTTTTAAATTCATCAGCCGTATTGAAAAAATTCATGTTAAAAAAATATATCCACTAATTTTACGCAGTCAAAAAAATTAAAATCGGTTTAAGTACGACGTGTGTTCGCGAACTATGCTGTTTTTGCGATTAAGAACAGGTTTTATTTTCCATATTAACTTATACTTAATATAAAAATGTACGTAAATTACTATTTACATTTTTTTGGTTTATTACAGGGGGAAATCCTTGAAAATGTGAATAGTAGTTGAACGACAATAATTTATGTATCGGATCTACGGTTTTATGGTTTTACCTTTGCAATGACTTATAGGAAATAAAAACGTATACTTATTAACTTATATTTTTCTTATATTTTTAATATAATTTTAAAATATATGTTCTCGTAAATGTTCGTTTTATCGATTTATTTTAAAATATTCTTCATACATGTCTAATAAAATAAATAGACATTTTATGAATACATAAATAATATCCATAATTATATTACATCGTGCATTATAAGTGTCTATAGAGAACATAAAAGACCACAAATAATATTTAAAAATAAAAAATATTAAATAATTTACACAATACCTACAATCGATATGATGATGGACAGGAAGATGAAAAATTCTAAAATTTAGACCCTCCCCCAAATAACATATGTGTGAGATATTGACAAGGATCAAAAATAACAAGACTATCTAATTATACCTGTTATGGTATAATAATCAAGTGTGCCTAATGTCATATTTATTATTATAGTAATATATTAATATAATACATATAATATTATATATTCGGATAATATTTCATAAGTATCATTCTTATAATATTAAGGTATTACTCTTAACGAGGCGTGCGTTTATAAAATATTATTGTATCTATGTAAATTCTTGGTGAATACGTACCTATTAATGTAATAACAAAAAATATGTTATTTGTTATTGGTATTATTTTATACACATTTCGGTTACTGTTCGTCACTTTAGTCTAACCCTGTATATTGTATAATATCCTATTTTAACAAAAATATGCAAACATAAACCTACCATAGGTATAATTTGTATAATAATGGTCGTGATTGACCTTCTATATGGAAATTTTATTTACATTCGAGTCTGTAAACCAAACCGAGTCTCATGGTCACGTTAATGAATCAGTACCTAATAAGTAGGTAGGGATACTCGATGCTAGATTAAAATTAAATTAGTTACCATTATTATTAAAATACTATTGTTACGATTTAGACCTTTTCCTGAAAAAATATTTTCTTAGGGTTTTACTTTAGGGAGCTCATTTTTAAATTTTCCCGAGAGTTTTCTCAGCAAATTTGAAAAACCGGGAAAATCGGTACAATATTAATCAAATATTATTAAAAAATATATAATATAATACCTGTTTATTTTCCCATAATTTGACATAAACAATTTTTTAGAAAAGCATTATTATCAACTGAACTCCGCTCAGAATCGTTTTTTCGTTAGTAATGGTTTATCGTTACTTATAGATATACATTAATTTCCCTCCTGTATCCTACCTTCCTTACTTCCCACCAACAACAGTGGCTACATCCACTTGCGAAATATATCCGTTTTTTTTCATTTATTTTATAATATTCGGTAGATAATGTTTATTTGTATTTTTTCTCCCCCGTCTGGATCGTTTAACTTAATAATCTTAAATCCCACCAGTGGCGCTGATGTCAGTTTCATAGGTAATGCATAAAATAAAATCTAAAATATAATTAGGTAGGTACCACCACTATTTTTTGCCAAATAGATCCATGGGAGATTCGAACCCCCCCCCCTACGTTATTAACTTTAAAAATTGCAAAAAAAAAAATACTTAAATTGATATTTAACTACAGCGGCTGTTCTAGTCACTCCTGTGTATTCATTTATTTTAATAAAAATTATCATATCTTACGAGTTATAATCTACTCAAACGCAAACTGAGTGATACAAAATGTTAATGTGCATTTTTACAAAGATAAATAATATTATAAAAATATTTGGTAATCATAATTTAAGTTTTGACGACTTTTAACTAGAAATCATGCTCCAATCATCAACACCAGGAATAGTTTTCGGTAAACAATTTTACCTAGGTATCTATATAAAAATAATTGATGAATTAGACTAGGAGAAACCTTCAAAGATTATTAGAAATCGTCCGTGATATTATTTATGAGCTTATCACATGATGTTATCACGAGAGTTATCAATTGAATCACTGGTAATCATAGAGTATACCGGTATCCAAGTATCCACCTTGAAGTAATACTCTTTGCCGGTAATTTAATGATAAACAGTTTCTAGAGTATTCTATAATCAATATAATCTATATACTAATGATAATAGTCACGTTGTGTTGTACTGTAATCGCAATTCTCAAATTTAGTACTAATTAAACCAACAATTATATGTAGTATTTGGTCTTATTTGTTCAAATTAAATCAATTTATTTATAATTAAACTTAAAATGTCTTCTATGACAGTGCTTAAGTTATTCAGAAATCAACTTACCAGAAATTGTTGGCGTTATAGGAATACAGGACAAACATTATACAAACCAAGACCAAGTAATATGGCATTTCCTTCAAGTTACTAATGACATAAATTAAATAACTGTATAAATAACCTACCTACCTATCTAAATTTTAATTGAAATAACCCATAGCTCTTTGATACAGTAGCATAAAGCCTGGTCTACATGGTATAATGTTTAACCATGTGAACAGGGATAATCAGTACGTAGACTATTCATATTAAACAGATTGTATTTATAAATTAAATACAATATTAATATCACAGAATTAAACCATATTATATATGTATAATAGAAATATATCACAAATTGAAAATTATTTTGGAAATCAAATTTATATGTATTTATCTCTAAGATGATAGTATTTAAACTTGTTTATCTTCTATTTAATGTTTAATTTTATGATTTTTAAATGTCTGGATGTCAAATGTTTAAATTGGTATCAGGTAATTTTAAAATGTAACGCTGTTTTAGGTGTTTTAGGTATCCCTGTAAGAAGCCTCACTACAAATCCCAATGTGGATGATAAATTAAGTGACAAAACTACAAGTTCTGGTAAGATATACCTATACATATATATTTTATTTTTAACTCAATGGCTTAACAATATAATAATGTTAATTTTTTAGAAAAGTTAGAATTTCAAGCAGAAACACGAATGTTATTAGATATTGTGGGCAAATCTTTATATTCTGAAAAAGAAGTAAGAAGTAGTTCACATATCATTATAGAATTATATATTTGTATTTTGTATTTGTTTAATAATATTTTACAATTTTTAGGTTTTTATCAGAGAATTAATTTCCAATGCCAGTGATGCATTGGAAAAACTACGTTATGTAAGTTTAAAAGCGGGTGAATCACATGATCTTGGAAGTTTAGAAATAAACATTTCCACAGATAAAACAAATCGAAAACTGACTATTCAAGACACAGGAATTGGAATGAGTAGAGAGGAACTAATCTCTAATTTGGGTACTATTGCTAAATCTGGTTCAAAAGTAATTATTTTTTATAAAATTAACAACAAATATGAGAATAATTAATTTATACTGAATTTAACATGGTTCGCTTAGGCCTTCTTGCAACAAAATGAAGGGAATGATACATCAAATTTATCATCAATTATTGGCCAATTTGGTGTCGGCTTTTATAGCTGTTTTATGGTGGCAGATAGAGTTGAAGTTTTCACAAAATCAATGAATCCTGATACCGTTGGATACATATGGAAATCTGATGGGTATTTTCATTTTTTTAATTTTCAATTAAACATAATAGTATACTTATAGATGCTATTTTTAGAACAAATGTTTATGAAATATCAGAATCTGATAATGTTGAGAGAGGTACAAAAATTGTCATGTATTTGAAACCCGATTGTCGTGAATATGCATCTGAAGACACTGTTCGCAAAGTTATTAACAAATACAGTAATTTCGTGAATTCGCCAATTAAATTAAATGGTTCTGAAATAAATACTATACAAGTAAAAAAATGTTTAATTTCTTTCTTTCTGTGTTTGATAATTTAACGTTTTTAGCCATTATGGTTACTCAACCCAAAATCTGTTTCCAAAGAACAACACGATGAATTCTACAAATTTGTAGCAAATACTTATGATCGACCGAGGTTTGTGTTACATTATTCTGCTGAAGCTCCAATTCAAGTGCGAGCATTACTATACTTCCCGGAACTAGCCCCAGGTTTATATAACTATAATAAAACTAAGAAAAAATTATTTTATTGTTAATTTTAATTATTACAGGTCAAACTGAATTTTATGATAGTTCAACCAAAGGTGTATCACTCTATACTAGACGGATTTTGGTTAAAAAAGAAGCTGAACATGTATTACCCAAATGGCTTCGTTTTGTAAAAGGTAATATTTTGAATCTTTATTCTGATAGGGATTTTTTTCTTATTTGTTAATTTGTTATTTATGTAAGAACATAAATAATAAATATATTTTATATGATAATTTGTATTAAATTTAATTCTCCTAATGTGTAATAATAATAGTATAGTAATTTCATCCTGTCACTTGTATACCTCCAATGTTCAAAGTAGCCCTTATAACTAAATAACTAATAACTAAAATATTTATATAGTTAATGCTAATAATATGTTATAATTTTAGGTGTCATCGATTCAGAAGATATTCCGTTGAATCTGAGTAGAGAAATGTTGCAAAATTCTTCGTTATTAAGGTATATATCAATAAAATATTACATCAGTATCTATTTGACCGTGATATAAAATAATACATTTTATTCCTAGAAAGTTAAACCAATTGTTAACCAGTAGAGTTGTTAAATTTTTACATGAAAAATCTTTAAAAGATCTTGATGAATACATGAAATTTTATCAGGAATATGGCATGTTTATTAAAGAAGGAGTTGTAACTAATGAGGATCCCACAGAACGGGTTTGTATTTTATTATTTTAATCATTATCAAATTAATTCTCACATCTAATGTGATTTTATCTAAATTCCAAAAATATTGTAAAATGTTGATCATTAATGTAGTACATATTGAGTGTTGTGTTTATCTGTATTTATTATTAACACCAAACAGCGCTTAGAATATTTTTTAAATTAATATACTTTCCTAAATTTGTAATTTGTAAGTGAATTGTACTTATTTTAATATTGAATTTTATCAGATATTTATATTTTACATTTAAATAATAAATTAATATAGTACATTATTAGATACATTTAGATAAATGTGAGGTAATGGGTTCATAGGCGATCTACAATTTGATAACTGGTCTCATAAATGGTCTACCGATAGTAAACAAGAGTATGTACAAATAGTTTTATATCTATTGAATACAATTTATTGAATATTTATGAAAAAGCATGTTACATAAAATATTATTGAGAAACGAACTATATTACATTAAAAAGAAACAACAAAAAACATATATTATTAAAGAATACCTATATTATAAAATATTTTTATCATTAGATATTAATATATTAGTTACTCAATATAATAGTGACAAGTTGCCTACAAAACAATAAGTAGGTATTATATCCTTAATCAAGGAACAACTGGCGGCTGAATTAAAATATAATTTTATTGTAAAACCGTTAAATTGTGATATTTAAATAATAATATATATCTATTTTAATTTAATCTCTCCACAATAGAATAATATAATTGTTTTTATTAGTATGTAAGACCTTCATACCTAGTTAGCACAAACAATTTTAGATGTCAAAATATTGGTATTTGGTACTGTTTATTTATTTGTTTTTTTCAGAACACTTTTTTAAATTGTATTATTTTGCAGGAAGAAATTGCTTGTCTTTTACGGTATGAATCATCGCACACTAAACCTGGTGAAACAACATCCTTTGAAGAATATATCAAAAGGAGACAAGATGGTCAAAATGATATATATTACCTATCTGCTCCTAAGTAATGTTAATTTAGTATAGTATAATAAATATAGTTTATATTTAAAAATTTTAAAATTGTTTAGCCGTGCGTTGGCTGAAAGTTCTCCATACATAGAAGCATTAAAAAAGAAAAACTTTGAAGTTATCTATTGTTATGAACAACACGATGAAATCATTCTATACCAACTAAAAACATTTAAAACCGTCAAACTCACTTTAGTAGAAAAAGAAATCAATACTGCTAACAGTCAAGAATCTCAGACTGTTGATTATGGTTTGTTTTTTGTTCTTATATATTTTTCAAAGAGAATACACTCACATTTTCACATGACTTGATCATAGAGTTACAATGTTGAAGTATAGAATGTCTTTAATGCTTTATTGTACACGAGACAAACAATGAAAATAATATTGTTGGTGTAAAAGTCCCTCAATATAAACAGCAAATGTAATTGTAGATGTAATTTCTTTGAAAACCTGGACATTCATAACCTGAATATTATGTAATCAAGTTTCTAATCAGTTAATTTTTTGGTATAGGCATTGATGGTTTGAGTCAATTACAGTTGGATTCGTTACTTCCGTGGATCGAATCAGCTCTAGGGAATAAAGTGAAGAAAGTAAAAGCTACCGGACAATTGGAAAGCCATCCGTGTGTAATCACTGTTGACGATATGACTGCCGCTAGACATTTTATTAAAACTCAACTAAAACAAATGGATGAAGAATTGTTATTTTCAGTTTTACAACCTCGACTTGAACTCAATCCAAAGTATTTATTTTAAAATGTACTAATTATAACTTTAAATTAAAATAATTGTTTGTTTTTAGGCATGCAATTATAAAAAAACTGCACACGTTAAAAGATTCAAACCCTGAATTAGCCAAATTAATTGTTGAACAGGTAATGTTATTATAATACACAATTTATCAAATATTATGAATTGCAAAATTTTTTAAAATATTTTATAAAATAATTCTAAAATTCATTTAATGTAAACATATTTTAAAAACATTAAAAAAAAAAAAAACTGTATTATATAATCTTGTTTCATTAAAATGTACTTTTTGTTTATTTAGTTATACAGTAACTCAATGGTTACAGCCGGTTTAATCAACGATTCAAGAAAATTGGTATCAAATATGAATCGCCTTCTAGAATTAGTTGTTGAAAAATATTGAAAATGTGATTTTAAATCTTAGGCTTTAATTATTTTGTAAATATTTACCTACCTGTTTAATTATTTAGAGTTTTGTAAAAAAAAATAAAATAATAATAAAAAGTAATTCTTTATTATATTTATTATTTAACCATGATTTCATCCATATTAGTGGTTCTTAATGTGAGCGGTACTGTCTAGGAAGCATTTCGGTCTTTTGAGGGAGTAGTGCAGCAAATGCTGAATGACGGAAAAATAAATAAGTACCAGCATCCAGTGACATTTATTATCACACGTGAAATAAGCATAGTTATGTACAAGGCTGGATTATAGGATTGCGATATAAAGTTGGCCAAGATTCCTATAACAAAGGTCATCAGCAAAAGATTCTTGTAATATAACATTATAATAATAATTTGTTTAAAAACAGAAAATTAAAAATGAAAAAATAAATCAAAAGCAAATGATCAATAAAGCAATAACAAGCCTCTAGTTTTGCGTGAAGGGGCGTTAGTAATGAGTAAATCTACTTTAATTTATGGTTCTCTACAACCTTATCTCATTATTTTCAATTCTTTAAATAATTGTGTTAAAATTGACATATTTGCTATTTGGTCAACAAAATCATTGTTATTGTTGACTGTAAGTGTTATTTTATGTACATGCATATTTATTTTATAATATCAATGAGTCATTATTAAATGTCTTCCTTTTCATTGACATAATATTTTTAAGCTGCTCTTATTTTACAATTATTTGTATTATAAATTAATAGAACTTTATATTGAAATTGATCCGACTAATTGTTGTAACCTTTTAATTTTTTGATGCACATTTCATTATTAGTTTTGTTGGGTCTAAAAGTGTATGTGTTTTTTTACATATAAATAAATAATCATTGAGGAAATTGGATTGAACATTTTAAACTGTTAAACAGCATGATAAGCTTAACCATGTCTTGCAAATATTTCATGTCTTACTGACTTGCCGAAGGTTACTATTAACATAAGATAAAAAAATTTTTCCTCAACACGTATAGGTATCTACACCTAATTATTGATATACCCATATTCCAAAAGCATATATTTGGTTCCCAGGAAGTAGGGTTAAGTCAATTTTGTATGGTTTACCTTTACAATAAAATAAATATAATTTTTAAAATACATTCATTAATACACTTAACCCAGTAGTAGGGGATAAAATTACACTCATGGTATCTATATCTGTTATAAGAGGCAACAAATGTGGTTGTGTCAGGCTAATAGCAAGTGTAAAAATGTTGTCAAACAGTTTGAGAAGTCCTAAACAAGGACTTAGGGTGATATGCAACATATAACTAATTTGGTTGGATATAGTGGAGAGAGGTGTTAGGTGTTTTTTGTGACAAGAGATTTCAATGAAACAATGAGACTTAAAAATAAGTTTTAGAAGAGTGTGAGTGGTGAGACCGACAATGTTGTATGGTTCGATAGTGTTGGATGGGAGGTAGAAAAATAGAAGAGAGAACGAATGTAGTAGAGGTGAGAATGAATTTATGGATGAGTGTATTAACGTGAGAAGATAGGATAAGAAATTAGTACATAAAAAATAGCTTAGACGTGGGTTAGATAGTAGAAATATGAGAGAAAATAGTGTGAGATAGTTTAGTCATATTATGAGGAAAGAGGAATCAGAAGCAGTAATAATTATTGTTATGGAAACAAACATTGGAGGAAAAAGGGGGAGAAAAAGTCTAAAAAATAAGTGGTTGAATGCAATTGAGAATGATTAATGTATGCGAGGTAGGAGACCGGGTCAAGTGGAAATTTGGGACGAGGGTATCCCCTATTAGCTGGGATGAAGACATCCATTAATACAACATTATACAATCATTTTGAAAACATATACAATTTAGACCAAAAAATAAAGGAAAACAAAGTACCTACATAAGATAAAATTATAACGAAAAAATAATTCCAAAAATCGGCCCTTCTTCTCTGGAACCAGCGATATAGATACTTGTACATTATATTAAATATTATATTATTTTTACTTATTTTAGAATGATAAACATAACGTAAAACACTCATTATCTCGGGAAGTATTAACTTTTTTTGGAATTTGTTTTTTAGAACATTTAAGAAATAAGTAGCTCTAAAATGATGCATTACTCTATTCTGTTACCTTCATTTTTGAACCTAAGAATAATAAAAATCCCATAAATAAATGGAGTATTAGTTTAAATCAATTTCGTTGCTGATCTTTTTAATTTTCGTCAATCTGTTGATGAGATACTCTACTTTAAAGTTTTGGCGTTTTTAGTATAAGTTACCATTTGAAAATCAAAAGTAGATAGGTAGTGGTTTCGCCCCTTAAAATAAAGGCGACAAAAAATAACCAAAATGTAAAATTTCAGAGCTACTCATTTCTTAAATGATCTATAAAGCAAATGATAATCGGTGGCTAAGTGTATTACGTTATGCTGATTAGTGATCGTCATGTAAATCTAAATAAATAAAGAAAAATATTCAATACAATTTTGCCGCTCTGAAGTCCCATACCTAAATTAACCACTACTTGCATGTTAATTACATAGTAGTACAAGGTTTTTTCTTTTATTTTATAAATATTATTATACATAGATAGGCTGGGACCCAGGTACCTACCTAGTAATAATATCCGAAACTAGTATTGGTTACTGTGAAATTTTGAAATGATAACACGAACACATGAACTTAATAATACTGCGTGCAATAGGTTAACAGATTTAATAATAAAGAACGTGAAGAAATAAAATACGCTGAGCTAAACGCATTTTGTTTATGTTTCTACATGACCAGTAGGTACTAGTTGTTAATTTATTACACGCCATCAAACGTAATAAAATTATTGAAAAAAATGTTTTAATTAAAACTTATACCTATAATACGTACCTACTGTTATTATTTTGAGTACAATAAAACCATGATTATTATATAGGGAACATCAATTAAGACGTAGGTAGGTATGCTTTTATTTTTTTTCATTTGAAATTGACCTCGACGATTGGGGGTGACACCTATTATGCATGTCAGGTGCCTACATATCTATGCATTTTAATTAACAACAATAGGTGCTTTTACGAGAAGGTTATCGATTTCAAAGCTTCAAAATGCATCCGCCGTCCACGATATTATTATTGAAATTATGAATTATAATTATACGGCTTTAAACAGTAGCTACTTACAACCTATTTTAGTAGGTATTTACAATTCAATAAGAATACATTCTTTTGCAATACATGCTTTTACTGAATAGATAGTGAAATAACGATTTATAAATCAATTTTATTGGTCAAAGAACCTGCGGTATATGTAAGTATAGGTAACCGGTAAGAACGGTAACAAATAAGTAGGTACCTGCATGTTAGCGACATTTCTTTTTTTTTTGTTCATAAATATTGCATGTGTACATAAATTGACCTTCTTCAAGTGAAAACGCTGTATTTTCGTTTACAAACGTTTATCTCAATGCCGTAATTTTAATTTTCGGTAGACTGGAGCGAACTAACCAAAAACTTACCGACTGATGAAAAAAAATCAAGACGTAAACCCCCCTCAAAAAAAAAAAATTAAAAAACTGTATTGCTTCGTACGAATTGTCCTCCATTTAATAAGTTTTCCCAGATTTCATATTTACAAAGAAATAGCTGGTACCTACAATACATATTTCCGTGAATTCACCCTATGCGTTTTCTTTTTAAAAAGTATAAAAAAATTTTTTGTCTCGCTAAATCATAAAAACCGGTTAAAAACAGAGAAATCGAAAATTAGACCACGGGTTAATTATTTGTAAGAGCACACGAACAAACAGTAGGTAACTATATATCGACCGTTTTTCTATCTAAAAGCCAGAAATAAACCAAAAGGCTGAGTGAAGGCTAAATGTTAGAGGGGACAAATGCCCCCACAACCCTTCACTCCAGGAGGCGAACGCAAGGGTAGAGTTCTAAAGTTTTAACTCCTTCCCCCCTCCCCGAAATTTCTTTCTCCTCCCAAAATATTATTAAACATTTTTTTTATTGATAATTTGTAAGGCTAATTTTAGTACAATTAAAAAAACGTCTGTGATTGTCATGGACTAAGATATAGACTTAATAGAAAGTTACATTTGTTAAATAATATGATTATGGTATTTTGAACAAACAACTAGCCAACTCAACATTATCACTGAAGTACGGTCGCCATTTGTAACTGTATTAAGTCTAGCACGTAAGTAGTACGGTCTATGCCTACAATCGAGGTTTACATCATAGAGCAGCGGTTCCCAAACTTTTTCGTCTTACGGCGCCTTTTTAGAACTGAATTTTTCTTACGGCGCCCCTAATAAAACCAATGACCATTTTTTTTAGATAAAATAAAGAATAGAACATTTTAAGGATAATAAAAAAAAAATATTATTTAATTATTACATTTTTATTTTATTATAATCACAAAGAAATTATTTTAAAAATTTGATTTTATTAAGATTTTATACATTTTTAGAAAACATTAAATTAATGGGATGGATGCGCTTGCAAATCACTGTACAATTTTTCAAATCTTGGAATCAAAGTAGATACAGCCACTCTCATTTCTTTCATATTCACCATATCTACTGCAGCTGGTAGGATAAGCTCTTCAGCAATTGTATGAGGTTTTTTACATTTAGTGATTCTATAAGCCATTTTGTATAATGCTAACAAAGCATTTTTTGGTATTGATGCATTTTTGCATCATTACTCTATGGCATAGAGTAATAATTAGTCTTGTTACTCTATCTACTCTATCATGGTTTACACTTTACACCATAGACAATAGAGCTATTAACAAATGTTTATTATTAGGTCTGCACTAATTAACCTAATTAGGTTTACACTATACTCTGCTTATCACCGCGCCATATTCTTAATACGTGACATTAGTGATAACGATGTTCCGAAAAGATTACACATCGGGATCCAAACAAACCAATGTCCCTATACTTATAGCATTGCAGATTTTTTAATGTTATTGAAAGTAAACATATTTAAAATGATCTTACAGAGTGATTTTTTTATCATGAACCAGCAAATATTAAGAGTTATACAAATTTAAACGGTAAATCTGATATTAGTGTTATGCATATCAGAATTTCTAGAAAAACATTCGCTATTCAAATCTGTGTTCAAAATAAAGGGTTCCTATTTTAAAATCAAAAGTATGCACTTATTTAAGGTACATAGGGTAGGGATAAAAACTAAAAATGGTTTCAAAATAAAGCTTGGACGATTCCATAAAGATTAGGAAAAACAGAAATCAAATTCATTTAAAATCCTCTGAGATAATTGCTGGTTTATAATATCAAAAATCACCCTGTATATCTAATAAGTTTTTGATTATAAAACGTAATGCTGGGTATTTAATTGCAAACATTATAGTGAAAAAATGGTTGTACATTTTTAAGTTATCTACAATTAAAAACTTAGGCTCAAATGGATTAAGTTAATGAAGTCAGTATAATACCTACTTTCTATCTACTATCTTTATCTATAGATTAATATTCAAGAATATGCAATATACACACCTACAATCTGATAAATATTTTAGGTTCTTAGTGTAGTAAGGAATGCATTGGTTTTTTGATGATGTTTATTTTTAAATGTATCTTACCAGTTTTTTAATTTGTCATTGTAAAAACTGATTTGGTTTTGGAATTTTATACTCAATTGTTAACAATGCGTTTTCAATGGAAGGGAGTAATTGCTGAAGTAGAATTTCGCTATCAGGCTCCGGCTTTAATAACCATGATATTAAATGTATTTAAAATAAATATAAAATTGTTACTTTTAAAACTGTATGAATGTTGTTTAGTTATTTCATTATTTCGTTCGTAGTATATGCTATGTTATTACCAAACACTTTATTTTATTACTAAAATATTGTATAGTTATCAAATTAAGTACCTACAAGATTTTAAGAGTTAAGACAATTCATATAAAAATAGGAATTTGCAAGAATTATTTTGTGTTTTAATATTGGTATTATTTACTAGTTCAGCCATAAAGCGGGGGGGGAAGGGTAAAGCCCCCTACGGGCCTTTGATCAACCTATAATGAAAACCCTAACCGAAATAAATTCCTGCGTATACTACTGCTTCACTGTCACAAATGACGCCACTGTCAACTATACTCATGTCAATTGGTAATTCCACACATTTAGATCTATTTTCTGGTAACATAAATAATATTAAACACATGTATAAATTAGTTTAATCGTATCATATATTACCGATTGCGCGTATTCGTATATAACTTATTGTTATTTGTTGTAATTTTCGCACCTCGTTTTATTTTTGGCATTATTTACTTATTCATTTTGAATCACTTTATCTATACTGGTACATAATTTATACATATTTAATAATTATATTGCATATACATTTTTACTCATATTTAGATTTATCAAAATACTTTATATGACTGTCATATTTGTTTACATATCAAATGTAAATGTAGTTTTGCTCCGCATATTAATAATAAATAAATAAATACATAGGTACGTTTTAGTAGTGTCCAACAGTCAATTTTTCAAGGTCGGTAATAGTTTACGTCAAAACTTCAAATTATGTAGTATTAATAACATTTGTATGTTTAAAAGTTGTGTTTCAATTAAAAAAAAACCCAAATAAGGAATAGGTACTCTCCAACCTCCACAACAAATATTAATTAAGTAAATTAAAATACAGACTACAGATTTGTTATCTACACCTACACTGGTTACCTGATCTAAAAGTGTGTCTTGTTATAAAATATTATTAGTTATTCAAGTTTGTTCTAAGTTGTATTCAAATTGAATATTTGAAAATTAAAATTTGAAGATCACGATATGTTCACTTGTATCTTTGATTAATTACAACAGGTATATTATTCTAACGGCGTTTCCCCGTGCAAAATATTATATTGTAAAGAAAACATTTTTCCTCGCGTTTTTCACCGAGATAGCCTCAAAACGAGTTTTTCTGCAAAATGTACACAAGTTTGCATTTAATTATCGAGACTCAAGAGAAAAGTTTTGATAACGTTTAAGTTCAAAACCGCCCCGAGTCATTCCCTAATACGGCACTTATAATATTCATTGTTGGACCGCGTTTCTTTTGCACGGGCGACTCCGGGCGGGACGGCTTGTTGTTTAGCGTTACTGTTATCCACCTGAAAAGTAAAAACAAAAACCGTACACAATTATGTAACGAGCCTCGGAATCATCAAAACCGCGCCATCAGAAACTAGGTCACAAACATTATTACTTATTAGGAAATTACATTTTAGTAGGTAGGTAGTTATTATCTGTTCGGCGATTAGTCGGAATATAATAATATATAGCGGACCATCATAAAATATTCAGGACACGCACCGATATCGCCTAAACGGCCACCATAATTTCGTCGAACGGTCTCGGATATAATTTTATGGGTATCTATAGGTAAAGTATAGCCATATTACCTAAAATATTGGGTCAGCGTTTAGTCAGTGATGCGTTCCCATCAATGTTTATGAGAGTTTATACCAAGCCGATTAGTTCCTGGGTACTCGCCTATTCTATGTTATGCCATTCGAACGGGGAAGGAGTCGACAAATGATGATAACAAACGGCTAAATAAAAATTATTATTTTTTTTTTTTTTTTTTAACAAAACCATGAAGTTAATAATAATTATTTAAACAAATTGCGTTTTCGTAACTCATTACGGGTAGGTATCTAACTATATTCTATGTTTAATTTTGCTTCAGGTATACATACCGGCCACGGCACTACAGCTTGGAGCTGGGACTGCTGATTTATGTTTTCAAAGCCCGAGCGCAGTCCAACTTTTCATATAATCACGTACATTCGTACATAGGTATAATATGTACAATATACATGTATCGTGGATTCACGATGAATATAACCATGACCGTGGTCCGTGACCCGTTAAACCATCAATCATTAACCAGAATATTATTTTAGGAAATTGCTAAAAAAAAAATTATCTAAACCTTCAGTAAAAAAAAGTAAAAATATTTTACTTTCATACCTCGGAGGGCAAAAAAAAAAAAAAAAAAAAAATAGGCAGACGTGTACACGTATGTATACATACTATATAGTGATACGGGCAGACTAACGTTATTCGTGACAGATCGTGGTACAATTGAGTGACGTTTTAAAATAAATTTGTACACTAAAATATATTAAATTAAATTCCACTGCAGGCATTCCGATGTGTATTCGGACTTTGGAGTGTTATTAATTTATCGGTGTTTATTGCGCTGTTTCAGATTCGACTACAATATCATTTGCCGTACAGTATAAAATACAACCAGGTTTTCAACTTGAAATTGCATTTTTTTAAAATTTTTTTATATTGAAAATAATAATAACATCATAGAGGGTCTCTGATGAGTGCTGGTAATCCGAATAGATATTAGCCATGATGTGACATAAATCCGGATGCGAGTTTCTGTTTTTTTTTTTTAATTTTCTTATTCGTCTTATACTAGATCGGTGCATTTTTATAAGTATTTATCTACGAATAAGTTTTTTTTTTTTAACATTCTACAATAATATATTTGATTTGTAAAAATAACTTTAGTTATGATGATTTTATTATAGAAAAAAAAAAATGCACGAAGTAATCAAAGTTAAATCAAAGTTTTAAAATCAGAAATTCGACGACTTATCGAAAAATTGGGAGTTACGATAAAAAAAAAATTCCAAAAATTCGCATTTTCCCAACCTCAGTAGTGCGGGCAGATGCAAACGACTACGGGAAAGTTCAACTATAATGTTTCCTAAACGATACGCTATTAGGTACCTTATTGAAATACCAGTATTTTTTTAATTCGGTGGAAAAAAATTCGTCTTACGATTTAATAGATTCTACATATTAAGTAGGCGGTTCCCCTGCAAATGGCAAACCCGCAAACCCAACATAATATATTATATTATCACTAAAGTAGGTATGCGGCTTATTATTATTACTCGTCTCGTAGAAATCATAACCGCAATTTAATTATATATCAGATAATATACAAATAATTATCTCGAATCAAGATTATAGCGTTTAAAAATACGTTTTACGAAACGCATTATGCGCGCAATTCAATTTGGTAATGAAATATCGAGAAGGCATACAAGATACGTAGTAAAACGTGATGTAGGTATATGATTAAATTCAAATATGAAATATTATATCGCATGTGATAAATAACGCCAATTGTTTTATAACGTGCTTTTATATGGTGTTTCCATATATATATATATATATATATACATTTTTTTAGAGTAATATACCGCTTTAACATCCTGTATCTTTATTTATTTTATAGGTATCCTTCTTGTGGTTTACATTTTATATTGCGTACAGGGAAATGGATGCCAAATTGTACAACAGTCAAGTATTAGGAAAACCAATATAAAACACTCAAAGTTAAAAAAAAAAAAAAAAAAAAATACTACCAAACAAACGTAGAGACGTACTTCGCACGATGGGTGGACCGCTATTGTAGATGCGATGTTGAGACGGTAGAGTGGGAATTTAATTTATATCTGTACGCAACGATTAACGGTTGCTAACGAATAACGATTCTAAGCGGAGTTTGATTAGATGCATCGTTTTTTGAACGGCCGTAATATGAGTTACGAGTTGAAAATAATACATTTTGTAAATTTTC